CTTGGCGAGGCGGTTGTAGTCAATCTCCTCGAGCAGCTTCCAGTCGGCCTTGATGTTGACACTGGCGTCACGGTTGCGGGCAGGCTTGTCGTAGTCCTTCCAGCCGAAGCGGCGGCCACCACGGCCACCGCCTCTTCCGCCCCGTTCAAAGCCTCCTCCGTAGCCTCCGCGGCCGCCCTGCTGGCCACCACGAGCGACGGTCGTCCGGCCACCGCGAGCGGTCTGAGCGGGACCTCCACGCTGGCCGCGGCCGCGGGTGAAGACGGCGCCACGGCCGAATCTTGTCTTGGTGCTGTCGCGGGTGTTGCTGACGACGGAAAAGGTGGACTCGTCCTCGGCGGGAGGGGCGTTGAAGGAGATGGCGTGGCCGGCACCGTAGACTTGTTGGTCTTGAAAGGAAGCGAGAGAGTTAGCGACGATGTCGTCTTCGTGGAGGGTTTCGTAGCTGAAGCTAGAGGAGGAAGGTGACGCTTACCACGGTAGTTACGGTTGTACTGCTGTCTGCCACCACGTCCGTCTCTGTCCTTGCCCTCGGAGGTCCAGTCGGCCATGCGACCAAGCTTGTCGCCCTTGGAGAAGGGCGCATAGGGGACACCGTTCAAGGTAGTCTCGGTGGTGACGGGCGGGCCCCAACCATCGCCGGCCGGGCAAGTCTCGACGAGCTTGACCCAGTCCATTTCCTGAGCCATGATGAAAATGGTTTTTCTTCCTTGGCTATTGAGGTCGAAGTCGAGATCGAAATCGGTCTAGCTGTGCGTCTTTCGGTAGGGGGAAAGGGGGGTGGCAGCAGCGCTTTCGGGCTTCTGAAAGATGGAAAAGTCGTCAAGGGTTTGGGTGGTGCACACCTCCTCTCGCCGTTGATTTTCGTCGTTCGGATTTGGTGGGGTGAACTTTGTGGGGCAGAGCGGGCAAAATTTCAAAGTCTTGTGTTTCGACACCTGGTGGCGACTGACAGCCACTCGTTTCCACGCGACGCGGGGCCACTGCCAGCCACGACCAGCTGCATCGTGGCCGCGGAACACCACCACCTTACGCCTGGTCTGCTCACAATACACAAGTCGTCGCTTAATACATCTCATAGCCTGATTCAAAGCTCATGCTTTCACGATATTCTCTTAAGGCTTTAGAAAAATGTACATATCATTAAGGCCGTGGTATCAAAAGTAATCCCCCAAGATTCCCAGAATACGCTCCAAATGTTTCTAGTTTGGGCCTCTTCTCACACCAAGTCATGCATTCAGAGATTCACTGAATCTCCTGATGAGGTGCCCCCATCTCGTTATCCGAGTTCATGCCAGACGCTCCTAGTAGGCGTAGTTCATCATTTCCGGTCCGGAGCAGAAGACGTTCTCCAATGCGTCCCGGACCTCGAATTCCTCCATAACGGCACCAAAACTAAGTCACGATCAGTTTGAGCCACATGAGATGTGAAGAGCAGCATATATACGTACCCGTAGCATCGAACCTTGTCCTTGAGCTCGTCAGTGAGCTTCTGGAAGTCCTCGGCACGAAGCTCGTGAGCCCTGGGGTGGCCCAAGACCATGCCCCAAGCCATGACCGGCGTGACCTCCCCATCGAGGTTCAGTTTCTTGCTGAGATCAAGCAAGGCCGAGAGGCTGCCTTTGCTCACTTCCCACGTCCTTTGCTGGGAGTCCAGGTCTCCGTTGACATTGCTGTACCCGAACGGAATGTCAGGTGTAAGCTCCGGGAAGGGCGCCGGGGGGCATGAGGCCATCAGCGCGTGTCCGCAGGGCTCGCCGCCCATCTCGCTTGATCTCTCCAACAGCCAAGGCATGTGATTCATGCAGGGTTTCTCGAGACTGTTACATACCCTCGATAAAATCGCACTCGTCAGCAAGCTCTTCTTCCGTTCGTTGCAATCATCGCTCACACCACCCGACTCCCGATGATGTCCAGGACTTGGTGATATGACAAGTACTTTTCACTGCGGGGGAGGTGATAGGTATGCCTTCGAGGGCGAGGGATGGTGGTTATCGTACGTTAAGACGAAGTCAATGCCCGCTTGCTCAAAGTCCACACCTCTACCAGAGCTCTGCCCTTGTCTGTTTTGTTGCAGTTGCTGGCTGCCCATCTGGGGAAGGGGAGGGGGCAGACCGTGGGGGTAAGACGGACCGTGAGACGAAGGCGACACCGACGGCGCTGTCGTCGACGTCAAAGGTGGCGTGTAGGCGTTCTGGCCGTAGCTGTGGCCCGACTGGCTGGCGCTCGATGTGTAGCCTCCGCTAGGGTTGCTGACCATATCGTCACCATAGTGAGAAAGAGGGATTCCGTTCTGGACCAGGAGCTGCTTGAGTTGCCTGTTCTCCTCGGCCACCTTGTCCTTGTCTTGCGATATGTTGCTAAAGATTTCTTTCAATCGAAGGACCTCATCTTCCAAAGCCTTGATGTACAACTCTTTTCTTTCACGATGCGTACTGTCATCTCCACCGTCAGTACCCCGATCGTTTCGCTTGATTCTCCAGCGAAATTGTTCGTCACTCACCGTTGCGCCTGTCTGTTCAATTCTTGTCGCCGAGTTAGAGCAGGTTTACTGTCGGGCTTCGGTCCTCTCCTTTTGGGTGTTTGGCCGTCTACGAATACGCATTATCAGAACGGTGTCCCTTCTGGCACGGATATATGGTCGTTCCTACCTCGCGTTGTCCTCTTTTCTGTCAGGGACTTGAGAAAGCCCAAATTCAAGGAGCTCAGGGGGCCCCGCTCCTGGTCGGAGCCAGAGCCGCCGCCACCGTACTGACCCTGCGACGGCTGTTTCCCGTACTGGTCAGGCGACAACGAGGAAGCCATCGCTGCCCTCTCGTGAAGCTCGCCCACAGACTGTTTGCGTGCCGGAGACGATGACTGGTTCGGCGGAGAGCGATAAGCTGCTAAATTTCCTAGGTCAGTCATTATGTCGTTCTAGAACCATTGCAACGAAGAGAGAAAGGGCTTAAGAAGCGCAGCAATTCATGTCGTCATGTGAAAGGGGTAAACACCAAGGCTATAGCGGGGGTCTTGTCCTTACAAATACGTCTCGATTCGTGGCGTACCCGACCAGCCAGAGTAGACAATATGACTTGAAGGGCTTACCTGGGAAGATTGGATGCGCGATGGTCAGTTTCCCACTTTGACTGACAGTGCGATGCTGTGTGACGGTGGTTGTCGTCCGTTAAAGCAGGGGATGTTGCGGTGGAAAGGGATCGAGCCGTTCACGGCTGTATCATGCGCTGTGCTCTTCCGAACCACGATTATGGTTATTTGAGAAGCTCTTCTCGAATGTGAAACCCAATTCTGGCGTCCGAGCTGTCTGAGGATGCTATGCGGTTGCGACGAGGGGACGAGCAGGGCGCGGGGAGTAGATCGGTCGGGGTAGGCTGGGTAGATTAATCCGCCCTGTTTTAGAATTGTTTGACACAGTCCAGATGAAGAGGATGGATGTCGTGCGTCCGGGGGTGGTTGGACGGTTGCAGTCTGGCTTTTTCTGGCTCCGGCTCAGGTTCAGGCTCAATCAAGCAAGCTTGGGCTCACAGTTATCCTGGACCTGAGGTAATCACTGTCCGCCTAACAGCTCGGGGTTGGGGACGGGCCTGGGGTTGGTTGGGGGGTAGGGGGAGTCTGGAAATGGGTTGGAACTTTGGAAGAGGGTAGCAACAGAAAAGGGCAGAGGTGATAAGGAGAGAACGGATGACGGCGGAGCGGAGAAACCACCAAGAAGGATAGGTAGAGAGACGGGGGGCGCGTTAAGAGCCCTTGGTTCCGTCCTTTTGCTGTGGCTCTCTGCTGTGCTGGTGGCCAATGTTTGTCGCGAATCGAGATGACAAGAGGCAGCGCCACCGCCCTCTTCTAAGACAAGATGGCGGAACTTGGAAGTCGAGAGCAGCAGGCGAACGCGGGCGGGAGGCCAAGGCGGTCGTTGGTCCAGTCAGGTCAATCAATGAGGAAGCCCAACGAGTTTTGGTACGTCGTCTTGATGAGAGCAGCGAAAAGGATGACGGGAGGGTGAATGAATATGCGGGGTTTCAGCAGCAGCAGTACGCAGCAGTAGTACCAGTAGTAGCAGCAGCAGCCCGTCACTCGGATCGAATCGATGTTGAGTCCCTCGGTAATAATGATGGCAATGAAGGGAGAGAAAATCACAGTTCGGCTAGCTAACAATAGGCGTTCGCAACTCTGACTTGGAACTGCTTAGGTAGGCAGTCTGTTGGTCTGGTTCATAGAGGCTTCCAAAGAAGACCCCGGAGACGGATCCTTGCGACAAGGCCGAATGCCAATGGGTCCCCCCCAGTCATCAAGGCTCGAAGGTACCTTAGTTAGGTGGTGCTGACTTGGCCTAGGACTTGAACGATCAAGTCCGATTTCGTTGCTTTTTCGGAATCATCGGCGGTTCCACGCACTTCTGTCCCCTTAGTTCGTCTGCCTTACCGCGAGAGAAAGAACGTCGGCTAGACTGGCAGTCTGAAGAAGCTGACGAACAGAAGCCCCCTCGAGAGTCGTCACCGGATAGGGCTATGCTATGTCGAAGAGCAACTTGAGCAGCTTGCAGGGGCGAGCTCTAGCTATGGTGAGGCCGAGGAGAAGCGGCACGCGGCATAGCAAGTACTAACCGTGTGACAAATATTGGAATTTTGTGTTGGCGTCGGTACTGACATAGGCGGGGGGTAAGCAAGGCGCCTTCCGTGGACGGCGGGCGACGGTTCCTGGTCTAGACCCTTAAGCCTGCGATCCGTTGGCGGTTGAGTGAAGACCAGCAGCGGCGTGCCCGTGGCTGGCCCATCTCTCTGTCTCTCTCACGTCTCTGTCTCTGTATCCGTACTGTAATATTGGATCATAGTACCCAGTCTGGAACCCACGTACCCAAGCTATCGAATGCTCCCAGTATCGGCTTGGCTTTGTACGAATGAACGGCCCGAGGGCAGACCGAGTATAGCTGAGAAAAGGAGGCTTCAGAAGCTTCCAAGTTCCGCCAGAGCGCACAAAGTGCTGCATCGCACAAGCGGGGAGAAATGGAGGGGTTCCCATTCGCAGCTCCCGTTCTAGGCCAAGTTCACATCGCATTTGTGAGCGAATATTCGTCCACGGGTGCCTCAACCGTTATCCTCATTCCTCTCCGCTATTCACTTTCCGACAAAGAAAGAGTAGATAGTCTCAGTAGAGACATGCATCGAGAGCCTCGGGTGCGACATTCGGCCCTCCTTGCTGCTACTGTTGCTTCGTCTGCCTGGAATGCTTTCGTGTGGCTTGACTTGCTTGACTCGGCGTCCTATCCACCTACGCTCCAGTTCTCCTCCCAGCGCCGGCATCAGCTCCGTCTCTAAAGGACTGACAGTCCTCCTGAGTACCTTATTATCAAAGAAAGTTAATTCTTTCTAAGTTATAAGTATAAGAATATAGTTTTAATAAAATAATATAATACTTACTTAATACTTAAATTAAAATACTTTTTTAAGCTTATTATAAAAAAAAATTATATTACTAACTACTTATTATTAAAGTTTATAAATAATATTATAATTTTAATTATAATAACTTTATTTATAGTAAATAAAAAGTCTAATTATAAATCCCTTAAAAGCTTTTAATTAAGAGCTATAAAAGCTTTTAAATTAAGTTAAAATATTTATTAAAATATTAATAACTAAACTAACCTTATAATAACAACTTTAATAAAAAACTTAATAAATAATATTAAAATCCTCGTTAATATTAAGTATAGTTTATAAAATATAATAACGTAACTATAAAATATTATTAATATATTTTATACTAAAAAGGGTATTATTAATATTAATAAAATAGATAGGGTTATATTAATATAATACTTTAGCTTCTTTTTATAACTTAAAAATAATTATTTTAAATAATATTAAAAGTTTATTAAAAAGCTTTTTTAAGTACTTTAGTATATTTATTACTATTTTTATAATAATAGAACTCTTAGTATTTATATATAAAAATAGGTTACTTATTTTTAAATAATAATATTAATTTATTAATAAATTATTAAAATTATGATTTTAGTGATTTTTTAATAAGGGAGAGGGTAAAATAGAGGAAAAAATAGGTAATTTATAAAAAGGGTTAAGGTTAAATAGTGCGGAATTCGAGGGTAGGGTAGCGTCTATATATACTACGGTAATCCTCTAGTAATGCAAAACGATGGAGTTAAACAGTGGACTGACAGTCCTCTAACTCTAACCACGAGTCCCCAACTCAGACCCAGACCCTGAGACCCCTGGTGGTAGACGGGGGGCATGTTTGCTTGTTTGCTCGCTTATCAGAATTGCTCATCTTGGAATCGTCAGATTACCATGCACGAGAGCTCTCGCCAGACAAAAGTAGAAGCCCATACGTCCGTACGGAACGTGTCACAATTCGGACCCCTTGCTAGACCAACACTTCTCCATGGCAGATGCACACGTGTGAGCTTGCATTCTGCTAGCCAGCGGCGCGTCCAAAGTTTCTTGTTGCGAGGCAATTATCTAGCCTGCGAATCTCTGCGCGTAAATCCCGTCTCTCCAGTCTCCCATCCACACAGACCTCGGTCCAATGGCGGCGTCGACATCGGACGAGCCGGGAAAAAAGCCAAGAGTCCCTTAACTGGACCTCACACTCCATGGCCTATTTTGAGCATTTTGAAATCGCACATACGACTGCTTATATATGCAGCCAACCTTGACACTCGAGCACCCCTCTGTCTGTGTGCCCAGTGTGCACATTTCGTCCTATGTCGAATGAAATTCGGCACGTCGTAGGGCTTTCGGGTGCCTCAATGCTGGCACTTGGACGTCTCACTCGTCCCTTCGAGACCTTCCAGGCTCGGCCCATGTGATTAACGGCCAGGAACGTGAAATCCCTGTCTTTGAGTGGTTTGGAGGGGTTCCTCACTCACATAATTGAGTTAAGCCCGCCGTTTGTCAGTCGGCCCACGGAGATCAATCATTGACCTCTGCCAAAAGTCCATGCCGTCATTTTAACCCGTTTAGGAACTTGGGCGGGACCGGACGTCTCTGCTAACAGAAGCCAGCCACAGTAGCATCGTGTTTCCTTTTCCCCGATTCCCATACTATTGCAATCATATCCTGTGAGAAGATCCTCAGCCCATGATTGCCACACTTCAGAGCTTCCTCCTCGTTGGCAGCAAGGAATACGGCTGTAATTGTGCTCATCCACTGAACGCGAAGAGGAACGCACATCTTTGAGACGAGTGAACCCCGGATCATCGCCCGCTCGTTCGAAACCTTCACCCTTGATCTGCTGGCCTAAAGGTCACGCGCGCACGCGGCTCCCTTTCGAAACATCCCTTGGTCTAGGGCAGGGTGTCTTGGGTTGTAGATCGGTTTGCCGCGCTTCGGCTCGCTCACTAGACGGCCAACCTTAATCTTTTCTTTTGGGACGTCGCCAGTTGCCAAAGAACTCAGAGTGTCATCATTTTCGTGCATCGATTCATCTTCTTACGCCTCGGTCTCGGATTCCACTAGAGTGAGCTTTGACGATTGAATCCTCAACGGCCATGGCTGGCCACGGCAACGTGCTCACTCACTTCCGAGGAGCTGCCATTCTAGCTCCGTGGGTTCTTTGGTTGCTTTTGGCAGATACCGCCATCTCACTCCAGCTCCCGCTGAAATGGCTCGCTCCGGACTTCGTGTACAACTCCTCGTCACGGATCGCCGAGACAGTTTGGTACTGGATCCAGATCATCTTTGAAAGATATAATGGCGCCAACATTACATTTTCCGGCGATGCCCTTCCCCGCGGGGAGTCGGCTGTAGTAGTCGCCAACCACGTCGGATGGGCGGACTTTTACATGATCCAAGCTCTCGCGATCAAAGCCGAGATGCTAGGCCGTTGCCGTTACTTTGCCAAGATCCAGCTGCGGATAGTTCCATTTCTTGGTTGGGGTCTATGGGCGATGGGTATGCCCATGGTGAGTCGTAACTGGGCCAAAGACAAGCATGAGCTTGACAGGGCATTCTCGGGTATCGTCAATAGGCAGTGGCCGACCTGTAAGTGCATCAGTTGATAGTTTTTCCCGTTCAGGGCGGACACCTTACTGATGATGATAAATAGGGCTCATCAGCTTCAGCGAGGCCACTCGTTTCACACAGAAGAAGTATGAGCAGTCAATCGTCTGGTGCAAGGAGTCGGGTCGACCGCAGCCTATGCATTTGCTGTATCCTAGGACGAAAGGATTCATTACCACCGTCCAACACCTCAGGAAGGCGGCCCACGTGAAGGCCGTGTACGATGTGACGATTGCGTATCAGAGGGGAAAAGATTTCCATGCGGCGCCGACCATGTGGGACACTTTGAGCGTGCCCGGGTTGAGCTCTCGACTTGGATACAAGTTTCACGTCCATGTTCGCAGGTTTCCCCTCGAGACTCTACCGACGGATGACGAAAAGCTGGCAAAGTGGCTAGAGAATCTCTGGGTAGAAAAGGGGGAATGGCTGGATGTGAAGAAGGCCGAGTGGGCTTCAATGACTTGAAGCTCTTTGACACGGTTTTCACGGCCAAGCCGGGGAACCGTCTTGGAAAAGTGAAGAATGGAAACAGCATGTACTCCGTCAGTACACACGTGACGGATAAACAGGTCGGCCATAGTATCAGGAGATGGAAAGTGCCGCATAAGGTAGTGTTTGAAGCAGTCACGTTACTCCTCCCCTTTGGAGCGGCCATATTACGGAAAGCGCTCTGCAATGGCCTTTCCATAATGTAATTAAAACTTATCAATCAATCCTGCCGCTTTCGTCTGATTCCCTGATGACTTCTACGCTTGTTCTAACGGGAAAGAGACGACTATTCTCAGATGCCGGGCATTGATATTGGTTCGCTATTCGGGTCATCACGACAGTTGCGACTACGCAACACTCTTGTGCAAAAGGTTCGTGACGAGGGCGCACGCAGAGACTTCCTTATACTCAAGATACGGGTGAATGTTTTATGACAGCAAGGCTCCGTCCCGTTCCACGCAGTCGTAGGTATTGTGGCACACATTCATTTCCAATGCTGGCAGGCCTTCTATCATGATCGTTGAAGTGATGGCCAGCAGTCATTGCACAGGAATTAGCTTTGCCGCTGGTCAATGAATAAGTTCCGACTGACTAATGAACGTTGTTGGTTTTCTCACTTCTGCAAGGGGGCCAGTCGAACAGGACTAGGCCGTTCGAATACGAACCACACAAGGATTGCTTCCCTCGCACAAAGCTAGGGAAGTTTCGTTGGATCAACGTTGTCATGTGTGATTACTACCACAGCTCCCACAGCTCCTCATATTACGTCTTAATGACGGACGATCATGCTCATTCTCGTCGGTCCAGTTAAGCCGAGACAGGCTGATGGTCTTATCTTGTTGTCGAATCATCGCCTTGCCGCTTCTGTGTCACCTCGAGCTTACCGTACGTACCCATTTCCTGAATGCCCCGGCGTTCTATTAGATGTTGCTGGATCACATGTCGCGCCTTTCGAAGGAACCCTTACATGATATCTGCATTGGCAAGTGGACTTGATCGTCTCTCGAGTATCAGCGAGACATTATCAAACGTGCTCGGTGTGGTTTCGTTGTTTCTCGCCATTGTTCATAGAGTATTCTCCAGAAGTCCTTGGTGTGAATGCATGCTGGGCTACATCTTGCGAGAAACAGACATGTCTAGATGACAAGCCCCAGGCTATAGATATCAGATATAAATGTGGACAGCCATGGTGGTCTTTCACATGCAACACCATCCCATTTTGTATCAAACACCCCACGCTAGATAAGCACCTTGGAAGCAGAGCCGCGTCCGCCAGGCGGGGCATCCAACCATCATTGCCAATCCTTATCTCGAGACGTAAACTATCACCACTACCAAGCAACCGTCTCATACAAGATGGTCTTATCATCCTTGCCCGCATCACCCACGTGATGATGATGGGTGTCAGACAATCCTTTGGGTAGGCTCGACTTGAAGAAACTAGCGTATCGGCCGAGACAGCCTCGTTCGCCGTTCAAAGTGTAGTAAATCCGTAATCTGCGACAGAAGTCAATCCAGGACCGCCTGACTGTCCCAGAAGTCACCAGGGAAAGTACCAACACCTTTAGCGGCAAAAGGGCGTGTCGACGGCTATCGAAACCTTGAGAGTCCAGGGGCCGTATCCTGAGAGCGACAAGCGTCTCTTCCGACGACGATATCCCGGCGGCCATCGGAGCTTTAGTTTGCTTTGGATAGACTTGCCTCTGTATCTGCCTTTATTTATGCATCTGCGCAGACTGCTCACTGCAGCCCCCTTTTCTACCCCGATTCAGCCCTATTGAGCCCAAAAAGGTCATTTCCAGACA